CATCTCCAGCTGCAGCTCCTGTTCCCGACACAACTGACAACAAACACACTCATTCAGACCTCATGCTGTTTTGTTTAAAATTATGACAGCAAAAACCTGCATGTAAGTTCATATTAATTGGCATTAGGAAGGATTAGGACGTTGCACTGACTTTTTCCTGCAGCTGGTTCTGCAGCGCTGTCATCTCTCTCTGATGTCGGTCTCTCTCTTGCTGTAGGATGGTCTGGTGGAGATGGGTGGCCTGACGCAGGCTAGTGATCTCAGCTTCCTGATCTTTCACTGTACGAAGTAGTTTCTCTTTTTCTGCCTGAAGACCCACCAACACACTGCTCAACCCGTCTCCGGCCTGAACACACACACGCAGATCAGAAAAACATTAGAGTATCTACTAGGATGTTTTAATGCATTCAGTTGTTCATCTAGAAATCTGGAGCCATTTATGCACATGGACAGAGGTCTTACCTTCTCCTTGCTCTGCAAAGCATTATGGACTTGGGATATTTCAGCCCTCTCAGACGCTAGCTCTTGCTTCAAACGTTCAATTTCTGCTCTCTGTGCCTCCAGCTGAAAATTACAGTTCAGTTCAGTTAATGACAGGTGGATATTTCAGCCAGGCCAATAAATCAGCAGATATTTTTGAGATTATCTGCACTAGTTTCAATTCAATCATCTAACCTGATTGTCAATGGATAATGTACAATTTCTGTTGTTTTTGAGTAATTATGAGTACATTCACTACCATTCAAAAGTTTGGAGTGAGTAAGATTTTTGTCAAAATTGTCAAAAGTAACAATTTTATATTATAATATATTATTTTATTTTTATATTAATTTAAACAATTATTATCAAACATTTATATTCATTTAGTAACATAAATATATCTTAGTATAGGCTATATCCTTAGAGTTTTATAATTCATTATCTTCTTGTCGATCCATCAGTTCACATTTACAACTGAGTTTTCTGCGTAAAAATAAGGGTCGTTTTTGGCTTTGGTCTAAACCAGGGATGTCAAACTCAGATCCTGGAGGACCACAGCCCTGCAGAGTTTAGATTCAACCCTAATTAAACACACCTGATCCAGTTAATCAAATCCTTCAGGCTTATTTGAAAGCTACATGGTATGTGTGTTGGAGCAGGGCTGGAAATAAACTCTGCAGGGCTGCGGCCCTCTAGGAACTGAGTTTGACACCCCTGGTCTAAACAGAGAAGAAG